AACCTTAACAAAAAATGATCGTAGATGTTAGGATGATGAAAGAGAGAGAGAGAGAGAGAGAGAGAGAGAGAGGTATAGACAGATTGAGAAAAAGAGGAAAGACAGAAAGAGAGACAGAGAGAGATAACAGAGTGAGAAAACAAAGAAAGAACGAGAGTTCAGAGAGAAGAGAAAAGTTGAGAGAGAAAGAGAGAGAGAGAGGGGGGGAGAGGTAGAGAAAGAGAGAGAAAGACTGAAAAGAGAGAGAGAGAGAGATACAGAAAACTGAGAAAGGATAGAGAAAGGACAGGGAAACAGAGAAAGAAAGGAGGGTAGGGGGTAAAAAGGCACTGAGAAAAAGAGAAAACAAGGGAAAAGAGAATATAAAATTAACGTGTCTTTAAAATTTTCCGGCCATATTAAATTTTCAACAAACAAACAATCAAACAAAAATTCAAATGTGAACAAGAAAAGAAAAAGTTTTTTAATGAATGAAACGATTAAAAATAGAAAAAAAGAGAAAAAAAAAAATTCATGAATAAAAATTAAAATAAATAAAGTTCACGTGTTTGAATTTTTGTGATAGTGATTCCCATACAAATTTTTTCATTCTTCTTCCACGCTTTTTTTCCCTTTTCCCCAAATATAAATGAAAATTTTTTTGCAATACGTGGGGGTTCCTCTCCCGGATAGATTTTACGAATCATCATCATCATTTCGCACACGCAATTAAAAAAAAATTTTTTATTATTCTTCTTCTACTCCCACTTTCGAATTTAAATTTTCCCAGATTTGGCGCAAACTCTAAATTCCAAATTTGAAATTAACCATCCAATAAAAAAAAAGTTGAGATGTTTTAACCCCGAAAATACGTTCGATACGTAAACACACAGACACACACAGACAGACACAGACACGATTGCATTTATTATTATTATTATTATTATTATTTATCCTTCGATTCATTCATTCATTCATTCATACGTTCGTTCGATTCATTATTATTATTATTATTATTATTAATACATTTATTGTCGTCGTCGTTGTCGTTGTCGTTACGTATAAAAGTTATTAATAAAAAAAAAATGTGATTAACAAATCATCTAATTAATTTCATTATTTTTTTTTTTGTATGTGTGTGCGTGCGTGTGCGTGTGTGCGTGCGCGTTCTTTGGGTTCATAGTTCGAAGAACAAACAGCTGATAAAATTACATGACAAGTTTTTTTTTTTTTTTTTTAAATTTTTTTTACGTAAACAAATCAGTAGTAAAGTTCTTTGCCATAACCCTGATATTGAGGCGCCCGAATAATAATAATAATAATAATACATCACTTAATAAAAAGTGCAGTGGTAAAAAAAAATAATGAAAAAAATGATCGTGGCAGCAGAAAATCATTTTAATTAACATTCGGGGTTAATTTATTTATCAACCCCGTTTATAAAAACCAATTTTGTTTCAATCAACTGTGACGATTAATTAAATTTGAAAATATTATTAATAATAATAATAATAATAGTTGGTAATACGTCGTCGTTGTCGTCGCTCCCATTATTATTATTATTATTATTTACGAATGTTATCAGAGTTCATTGTTTTTATCATTGTTTGCAAAAAAAAAAAATTTAACATGTAATTTCCCTCAGCTGATAATTTTTTATAAAAAAAAAAATTCTCGAGGTTTTTAACGTTAATTTTTTTTTTTTTTTTGTTTCCCCGAAAAAATAAATTTTTAAAACGGCAACAGCAAAAACGACAACGACAAACAACAACGACAAACAAAACGATTCTCGTTAATGACAGACGAAAAAAAAAAAAAAAAAAATTGCGATAGGACGACAACCGGAAATAAACAACAACAAAAAAAAATTTCAAATCCCAAAAAAAAAAAAAAAAAAAAACATAAAGTTTATCATTTAAACAAAAAAAAAAAAAAAAATCAAATCAAATAAAGGAAATTAAGTGGGGGCGGCTTTAGCTTAGCATTTTTTTCGGTGACGTGTAATTAACAAAAAAAAACAAAACAAACCACGTGATTTTTTATAAAACTGGAAAATTTTTTTTGTCGCACATTCGCATAAATAATTAATTAAAATTTTACGAGGGACGTTTTGAATAAGAAAACAATATAAATTTAAACAAATAATAATAATAATGATCGTTAATAAAAAACGGGGGTGGGAAAGAGGAGGGAGTTAATAAAATAATAATAATAATAATAATACCCTTGATGATGATTATTATTAACATTTGCCGGAGGGAATTTGAAATTTTTTAATTTTTAATTTTTTTTCACGAGTTAATAAATAAATTTATTTATTTATTAATTTCATTATTATTATTATTATTAATGTTGATATCTTAGAGAGAGAGAGAGAGAGAGAGAAACTAAATTAGAACAGTTATTATTATTATTATTATATTCATGTACGATTAAAAAAAATGATTTTCGAAACGAGTACATAGAAACCTTGGAATTAATTATTTATAACAATTAATTAATTAATTATGATCGAATGCAATTTTTTTTTTTTTTTAATTGGAAATGCAATTTATCGATCGATAATTGTGACACGTTTTCATTATTATCATTATCATTTTCCTCTATTGAGGAGAGAGAGAGAGAGAGAGAAAGAGAGAAAGAGGGGAAATATATATTCCACGATGTTCGAACGATCTCTCATACCCTTTCGAATTTTCATCTATCATCGTTATCATTATTATTACTATTATTATTCCTATTATTATCATTATTATTATTATTACCTGGGTGATATTAAGGTATTAGGGCGTGGATAGGGTTGAGATCAAGGTTGAAAGTGGTAATGAAACAAAAACAAAAAAAAAGTCGAATTTTTTTTTGGATATGTTATTGCCAAAATATTAATAATAATAAATTCGTTGTTGGTTAGATTTTAAAAAAAAGAGAGAGATGATGACGTAAAATCACGTGACGACTATTATTAATTTTTTTGAGGGGGGAGAGCAGGGGAGAGAGAGGGTGGTCGAAAGAGGGGGAAAAAAGGTCGATTTATTTTAAAATTATTACTTTTCATGAGTAAACTTTTTTTTTGTTTTAAAATCAACAAAAAATTTTTTAAAGATGGACGAAAAAAAAAAAAATGAAAGAAAGAAAGGAGATGATGATGATGATAATGATGATGATGATGATGATGATGAAAAAAAAGTAAAGATGGTAGGATGAATAAAATAAACACACGTAATATTATTTGTATAAGTGATTTACACTATTGCATTACCCAGACAAAGTAATTCAACAACGACGCGAGGTCTTTGACTTTAACCTTCAATTTGGTCAATATCCGGTGCGGATTTTTATTATTATTATTATTAATTTTCTATTACTCCCCCTCCCCCTCCCCCGAAAAAAAAAAATTTTTTTCTCTGTCGAACGAGTGTGAGAGAAAGGACAAACGAACGAACGAGTATGAAACAAACGACGTAAATCATTCTTAACCTTTTTATTATTATTATTATTTTTGCTGAATGTATTAAATAAATAATCATTTTCATGCATTCCATTTCATTTAAAAAAAAAAAAATGTCGCGTTCGAATTTCTGGAATGTCGTGCGAACGTAAAAAAAAAAAAACGTGGAAATAATCACCTGGGTAAGTAAGACCAGGTAAAAATGTGTTACATCACACCGTTTTCTCTCTCTCACTCTCACTCTCTCAGTCTCTCTTTCTCTTTCTCTGTTATATTACACTCAATCATTCTTGAATGAAATTTAAAACGAATTCTCACAAAAATTCAATCCGGGGTTTCTTTTGATTTTTCTCTTCAACAAGTTCCATTTAGTCTAAATTAAAAAGTAAATCTTCTCCAGTTTCCATTTTGCAATAAGGGAAATAAAAAAACGCCACACTCTCTCTCTCTCTCTCTCTCTCTCTCTCTCTCTCTCTCTCTCTCTCTCTCTTTACGCCTAAGAACTCTTTGTAAGAAAATTAAAAAAAAAAAAGAATCGTCGTGGAAGTAACAACCACAACAATAATAATAATAATAAATGTCAATTACGCATGAAAAACACATTTTGTTGTTATCATGTCTTTAAAACTTTTGTTTTCGTTTCAGGTGCACGATTTTTCTTATCACAAACGTAATAATAATAATAATAATGACGGAAATATACGGGTACGAAGAATAGTAAAAGGAAAAAGAATTTCAATCATCAGATAAAAAGAAAACGAAAGGAAAATGGAAAAGAAAAATTTTTTCTTATGGATTTTCTACGAGCTCGTTTTATACGCCGCACTCACACACCTACTTTGGTTTAAGTTCAAGGTAATTAACAAAATCTATTTATTTATAATTATTACACAAGAGGACATTGATATTTATCGTGGCGGTAAAAAAAAAAAAAAAGTGGCACTATTAGTTAGATTTTTTTTTTTACATCACCACAATGTCACCAACAAAATTTTTTTTTTTTTTTTTTTAATCTAGCGGTATTTTTAAAGGACGAATCTAGTTTTTTTCATATTTTCTGGAAAGTTTTGGAAAAAAAAAAACATATTTACGATGACATATGATCGTTAATATTAATAATAATAATATCGTTTCTAGCTTATCCAGTTAATTACCATATTAAGGCTAGTCATAGATATTATTATTATTATTATTATTATTAATTCGTAATGGATTTTTACCAAATTTGGTGGTGGTATATATCGATGATTTCGAATGACTGTTGGATCGTTAAATAATATATATAACTTCCTAGTAGTTGGTAATACTAGTTTTGGTAGAAAAAGTCGTGGAAAGAGACATTTTAGATAAACACATTTTGGGGGACCTTGGAAAAAATTGCGTGTGCGTCGTGTTGTCGAAATTCGATTAGGTAATGGTGGTGGTGGTGGTGGTGGTAGGGGAGGTGAGGTTTAAATGTCAATATATATAAAAATTTTTAACTATTTCTAGAAACTTCTTGTTGACAAAGATATTCGCGTAGGAAAATTTTCGGGTCGGCGGTGTTTTTTAATAAAAAAGTTAAAAAACTTACCCAAAGGTCTTCCCTCGTGATGCTATTATCTGTATAATAAACTAAATGAGCCGGATGTAGGGGTTTGGTAGCCCTGATTTTACTCGATAGTAAAAGACACGTCGAACCTAATAATTGTAGTTGTGATTTTTTTATTTGGCAGATTGATAGAAAACGATCTAAATAATTCATAGCTAATGGGAAAACATCTTGTTCGCATTTTTCCGCTTCGCAAACCTACAAAAAAAAAAATTATTATTATTATTAGTATAAATCAAGGGTGAATGATAATAATAATAATAAAACACCACGTGTTTGTTGCTGTCGTGTAAATAATAATAATTTAACCTTTAAAAAAATCGATTCGATAATGATTTTTTTTTTTGTAATTATGGAAATGATTCAAGGTTTAGATATGGAAAATTATTATAATTTTTTTAAATTTTTTCGCGCCATTTTTAACAAAAGCCACGATGAAAATTTATTTTTTTTTAAAAAAATTATCTCGAGTATTTATTTATTTATTTAAATTGAATAGTTTTTCTTTCGTGAAGATATTAAAAAAAAAAAAAAAAAAACTATTGCTAAATGTAAACAATCATACGACGACACTTCCTTGTTGTTTGTTGTTGTTGTTGTTTGTCGTTGTTGACACGAAGAAAAAAAAAAAAGAAAATTAGGTGACGCTTATGCCTAATCGTTGTCATTCATCTTCCGTCATTTGTATATGTTTAATATGGAGTAGAAAACGCATACAATCTCCGAATTTTTTTTTTTTTATTTTCTTCTGCTTCTTTTTCTCTCTCTCTCTCTCTTTCTCTTTCTCTGTCTCTGTCTGTCTTATTAGCACAGCTTTCGTCGTGTAAAAAAAAAAAAAAAAATCTTTTATTCATTTCAAGGTCATGGGAATGCTTGTATAGTTTTTTTTGTGAAAAGGTATACAGGTATGTTTCGTATGAAAAACAATCAGAAAGGGAAGGAATACAAAAGAAAGAAAAGGAAAAAAAAAATGTGTAATGATAATAATAATAATGATGATGATGATGATAAATTTCATTACGATATATATATATAAATATAATTTAGGCTCGGGATTCTTTCTGACTGACAATTGAATCTGTCGCAGGTTTTAATTAACTTCTTTGAATGAAACTTATGAATCTTTGCTGCGTCATTATACATTTTTTTCATCATTAAATCTTTTTTTTTGTTAGTGTTAGTATTATTATTATTACTACTATTTTTTAGGCGCGTTATTATTATTATTATTATTTAAGGTGAAAAAACAGAAATTCCGTTGATAACAATAGCGAATGATGATTATGTTTAAAAAAATTAGAGGGTTGTTGAGAAGGAGGAAGAGGGGAGGGGAGGGAAGGGAAGGGGGGAAACAACCGCTTAAAGGTCTGTTTGTTGTTTGTGTTGATTGACAAGTTGCAGGAAAAAACGACAGTAGGGATATAAGGAAATTTTTCGTTTTTAAAAAAACTACAAACGCAAAACGGTTGTTATGATCGATTAGAGAAAACAAACACGAGGAACAAACAAAAAAAGCGTAAAAAAATTTTTGTTGATAATGATAATAATTAAAAATGTTAGGAATTCGTTTAATGAGGGGAGAGGAGAGGAGGGGAGGGGAGGAATCAGGAATACCAAAAAAAAAAAAAGTCTATAAATAATAATTTAGACATTGAACTTTGTAATATCTTATTCGTAAGAAATGTCACAACGACAACAACAACAACAACAACAACAACGACGACTAAGACGACAGAAAAGAAAGAAAACAAACGGAAAACAGTTCGGAAAAATACTCCGAACGTTTTTCACGCCTAACGGTACGAAAAACCTTTCCAAATTGTTTTTTCGTCATCATAGAAATTAATGACGTAGAGACGACAATACGAAATATCTTTCGAATTTTATTTTTTTTTGTTTCAAACACTGGACAACAAACAACAAACAAACAGACAAACAAAATTTTCCATTTCGATTCAAGTTCAAATGTCAAGGGAAAAAAACAAAAAATTTTTTTACACACTTGAACTTGTCCTTCGAAACGGTCGAATTCCATGTGAAAATATTATTATTATCATGTGGGTATGTGTGTGTGTGTGCGTGCGTGCGTGGGGGGCGTCTGTGAGTTTTACACGTCGGGATGAATATGATTTAGGTATTTAATGAAAAAAAAATTTAAAAATTGATGTTTAGGTAACAACAACAACAACAAACGAAATTTTTGTTGTTGTTAAGTACGTGTGACTAAAGTAATTTGAAATTATTTTACTTTTTTTTTTTTTTTTCACTTCCGCATTTAGTTAACGTATCAAGTTTATTGCTAAGTCATGTCATTGCTGCATGAAATCAGATTTTAGTTTCCACGCACACACACACACACACTCACTCTCTCTTTCTCTTTCTTTCTCTTTCTCTCTCTCTCTCTTCTTTCTTTTGTTTATCCTGTTTTCATAAGGAATAAGCTGACTTTATTTCAATGAATGCGATTTTTTACGTAAGGTAAATATTGAAAATAAAAAGCTGAGATTGCTTGGAAAATGTAAGGAATGAAAGAAAGAGAAAGAGAGAGAGAGAGAGAGAGAGTGAGAGAAATGGGAAAGAGGGGATAGGAAAAGAAAATAGTTATTCTTTCTCTCTCATCCAGGTTGTTGTTTGCTTAGATAAGCGATTCCATTGTTTTCTATTTACGTTTTTTTTTTTTTTCATCATCATTATTATTATCATCGTCGTCGTCGTCGTAGTCGTAGTCGTGGTTGTAGCAAAAGAGAATAAAAGTTTGTGAATATGAATTCATGAATAACCGGAAGAGAGAGAATCTTTGAAAGAGTGAGAATTAATATCGAGATGTCATATCGTAACTTGTTTGTCTTACTGGGTGGTACATTACGTTGATGGTGGTGGGATAAAAATGATGATATTCATGAAGTAAACTTAAATTTTAAAAAAAAAGAGCGTCAGGTTGTTGAACGCACTCGATTGTTTAATGTGTTAGTGTTAAAGGGTATGCAAATACAAAAACAAACGACAAACAAACAAACAAACACAAACGAAACGCATTCGATTTATCCCCCATTTTTCATTGACTTTTATACTCCACAACAGGAAGAAAAATCGTATTTTTATAAGTAACCACCACCACCACTACTACTGCCACGTAAAAAAAAAACAATAAGTGACACGTTTTAATTTTTCGCGGGAAATTTGAAAAATGGTGACGATGTGTAACGAATGACAGACGTTCTTTTTCCCACGTTCGTATTTTTTTTTTTGGGGGGGGGAGGGGAAATTTCGGTTCCATTGTTGTGAAAAAAACAAAATGGCTACCTTGAAATATGTTTTGATTTCGTATTTTATTTTTAATCGAGTCGAATAAATGATAACCGGATTGACAAGTTGTTAAAAAAAATTTTTAATCAGTCAAAAAATCATCGTCGTCGTCGTAAAAATAGAAATTTTCTTATCACAGAGTTTAATTGTGATACGACTTGGCGTTCGTTCGATATGAATATATATTTTGTTAAAACTATTTCCGTTTTTCTCGTTAGATTTTTTTATTATTATTATTATTATTTCTGTAATCGTGATGACAAATCGTGACAAACGAGTGTTTGTGTTGTTTGTACACTGTAAAAATTAAAAAAATTAAATTGTTAAAAACGCGTGCGTAAAAAAAATCAAACGTAAGGTAATAATATTTAAATAATAAAACGATAATTTTTCTAATTACACGTCGTTTTTGTAAATAAAACGCGGGGGTGTAAAACAAAAAAAAAAGGGAAAAACCGGAAGGAAATTTTTTTTTTTTTTGTGGAAACAACAACAATCAATCAACACAAAAATTGTTTTTACGAAATGGTAGCGTAATGCGTGGGTTGTAATTACTACCCGGGGAAAAAAAAAGGGGCGTTCGACAAACACAACAACAACAACCGAAAAACATTCACGCGCCGTACGGAAATTATACATATATATATAAAAATTGATGAGTTTATGTTTAACGCCTACTCAAAAATTATCATTATTATCATTTTTAAATACGTTTCGAAGGGATCCGAATATTTCCAGAACATTCCATTAGCAAAAAATTTTAATAATAATAATAATAATAATTGAATAGTTGAAAATTTTAACCTCGAGGTAAACAGGCAACAGGTAAAAGTTTTTGTCTTCTTCTCCTTTTCCAGGAATTCGTAGAAAAATAATAATAATAATAATAATGTTTTTTATCTTCCAGTTGTTTCTCTCTCTCTCTCTTTCTCTCTCGCACACGCAAATTTTTCCCACTACTTTCCTCATATGCGTAAATTAATGCGGGTAATAAAGAAAAAGTTAGAAAATAATAATAATAATAATAATAATAATAATAATAATAATAAATTAAATAAAAAAAAATTGCGGGTGGTTACAAAGTTATTTCATATAACTACCAACAACCAACCAGCTGCTATTAATGTTATTTTGTTGTTGTTGTTGTTGTTGTTGTTGTTCAGGTTGTGAACAAGTGCATCCACCTGTTTAAGACGTACCTGACTTGAGAATAAAAAGCCAACAACCGTTAAGAAGATTTGACGAGGGTGGTTTTATATTTAAAAAAAAAAAAAAATTTATTTTTGGGTTTTTAAGTTATGCGGTTCATTATAATTGATTGTTGTTAATAATAATAATAATGATGATGATAATAATGATAAAAAAGAGAGAGAGAGAATGAAAGAAAACTTTCGTGGAAATTTTTTTTTTTTTTTTTCCACACAACCTTTCACACGAATGAAAATTTATTTATTTAAAAGAAAGAATTTTTTTTTTTTTTTTTTTTTTTAAGGGATTGAGGACGATGAACTTTTGTACAAACGGATTTTTTCGTTTGTTTGTTTGTGTTTGTTTGCTTGTTTGTTTGTTACCCTTACTTAAAATTTCCTTTTTGATTGTCGAACGTGCTTAATAAATTTCTTATTGTTTTCAACAAAAAAAAAAATTTTTTTTTTGTCGTGGGTATAATTTTTGGGAGTTTAAAAATATTCGATTTATAATTATCCAGGTAAACTGCTGCCACGACGACGATTAAAAATAAATTTTTTTTTTTTTTTTTTTTTAAATTTAAAGCGTGAATAATTTAAAATTAAAAATATCGAATTGACGAATAAAAAAAAAAAAAAAAACAATTTATTTTTTCAGGTATAATTGTGAAGGTGTCGGGGAACGTTGGGGGGGGGGGCGGGGGCGGTATTGGAAAAACTGTTAATGCAAACGGGACAAAAGTGAAAACTTTAAAAAAAAAAAAACAGGTATGGGTTACCTTGAAACGACCCCCAAATTTTTTATATTTTATTTTTTTTTACAAATCGCAAACTAAAAAGTGAGTGAAAAAGAGTGAGAGAGAGAGAGAGAGAGAGAGAGAGAGAGAGAGAGAGAGAGAGAGAGAGAGAGAGAGAGAGACAAGAATTTTCCGCATTCATTGATTTTTTTTTTCGACTGGAATTCTGGAATCGAAAATCGATAATTTTTTTTTTTTTTTTTTTCATAATTTCTGGAATGAATTTTATCCTTGTAGGAGAGGGAGGAAAAAAATTTTTTTTTATAAAATACGTTTTTATAACAACATTCTGGAGTTTTTCTCCAGGATTTTTTTTTTTGGATAAAATTCATACTAGTATAATTTTTTTTTTTTTATAAACTCGATCGAAGGTTATCCAGTTCTTTGTTTATATATATAAAACATATACGCCGAAATCGAAGAGAGAAGAACAAAAAAAAAAAAAATTAACAAACGGGGAGGTTGAAGGATAATGAGGGCACTAATCGAATTAATAATAATAATAATAATAAATTTTTCGTGGCCCACACACCTTGACATTCAATCGTCATCATTATCACAAGCGAAAAACAAAACAGCTGATTAGTTTAGTTTTTTAAAAAAAAAAAAAATAAATTTTTTGATATCATCTTACTTACCTCCAGCATCCATTCAGCAACAGTCTTTCTCATTGCTGGAGTTATTTCCTCTTGTATGCAATCGAAATAAGAACTGTTCGGACAATACCTTTCTTCTATTTTTAACATGTTATGAAGTACTCTATCATCACTTAATAATACTTCATCCGGATATGTCCTACACTCGCACTCGGATTCACAACACAAAAGAGACATTTTTAATAAAAAAAATTTATTTTAGGTTTAAAAAAAAAAAAAAATTGTTTTTGTAGTGCGCGACTACTTTTAAAACGACGACGACGACGACGACGACGACGACGACGATGACGACGCGACGTTCTAATCGTCGACTAGCAAAATTTTTTACACGTTAATTACTAAAACCACGAGAAAAAATAACTAAAATACTAACTGAGAAATTTCATTTTTTTTTTTACGTTTATTTACCTACTACTACGACGACGACGACGACGATAATAATAATTTTTTCTTGTAAAAAAACAACCGGAAAATGAAAGAAAAAAGTTTGTCGTTGTTGTCGTTGTTGCGATTGTTTTAATTTCTTTTAAAAAAATTTTTTTTTTTTATTAATTTTTTTATTTAGTAATAACGATGAATTGTTGTTATTGTTGTGTTTGTTTGGTTGATTGATTGTAATGTTTGTATTCGTACAATCCGACCTCTTCGCCTGTCTGGCACTGACTATCAAAAATTGCCTTAAGAGATTTCTTTCCGTGGGAAAGCCCAGCTGTTGATGCCTTATTTATTGTTAAACAGGTCTAACCGACGACGAGTTTTTAACAACAACAACAACAACTAGTACGACTTACGATTATAACGACCGTAAGACGATTTTTTTCGTTTCAACCAATGAATTTCCCCTACCATAATAATAATATTAATACGTACACGTCTGCGCAAAGTGACGACTTACGATCGTAAGAATAAAATAATAATAATAATAATAAGCTCCGAAATTGTGGTACGAATCGATTTCGATATATATGTATATTCGAGATATCGAGTATGCGAGTAACGTCGCGAAATGATTTTTCTATATTTTTTTTTTGAAATTTGTATCGTTTGTTAATGACGTAATCGTCGTCGTCGTCGTTGATTAACCGAAAAAAAAAAAATTTTTTTGCAAATGATGATGATGATGATGATAGGAATTGTTCCCATGAGTTATCAGATTTTGTTTGTTTGTTGGTATTTAGGTTGTTGTATCAATCCTGCTCTCAGGTATCATATTACCCCTCATTCTCCCCCCTCTCGCGTAACATTCCAGGATCGCAGTGTTTTTTTATTTTATTTTTTTTATGCTTTAAATTTTTTTTTTTTTTCTCAATGATGATGATGATGATAATAGTTCAGGTTCGAATCGGGAATTTGTTTCATTTTTTTTTTTTTTTTTTTTTTTGCGAAAATTTTTTTTTGCATTCGTTGTTCCACGATTAAATTTTTTTTTTTTTTTTTTTTTTATTTAAATAACGACCGCGGGTTTTTGGAGAAAATAATAATAATAATAATAATTTATTTCGCGGATTTTTTTTAAACGAACAAATCGGGGGGAGGGGAGTGGGGGTTCGTAGGGGGTGAAAGGAATCACAAATCGAAAATTTTTTTAATTAATTAATTTTTTTAAAAAATTTTTGTTTAAACAACCGAAAAAAAAAATTTTTTTTTTTTGTTTAACATTCGCAAATAATAATAATAATAATAATAATAATAATAATAATAATAATAATAATAATAATAATAAAATTGTTAATGACACGATGAAAAAATTACAAAATGTAAATTTTCCACGTTAATTGTTTTAAAAAAAAAAATAAAATAATTTTTTTTATTGGCGTAATTCTGGAATTTTATTATTATTATTATTATTAATATTATTATTATTTGTCAAACGAGTCTGGAAAAAGTAAGGTATGAAATTTAAGGTTGTTTGTTTGTCGTAAGGTTTTTGTCGTTATTAAATGGGGAAAAAAAACGAGTTTTTCGATTTATTAAATGGCGATTTAACGAAAAACACGTGAAAAAAAATTTTTTTTTTATGTCACCGACAATAACGTCATCATTATTATCATCATCGTCGTTGTCGTCGTTGCCAACTTTAACATTTGAATTTTGTTTTTTAAGGGTTGTTGGAAAATCGCATCGATAATAATAATAATAATAATTTTGTTGCTGTTATTTAAATTCGTGGTTCAAAGTAAAAAAAAAAAAAAAAATTTATTTGGGCGTTAAGTATTGCGGTTCGTAAGCAAATAACTACCTGAAATACCTAAATTTAACGACTGCTGGAATGTTATTAACCGACCGTGTTTACGACGACGACGACGACGACGGGTACCTCTCATGGAATTTATACCTTTAAAAAAAAAAAAAAAAAGAAAAATGTTTCGTGCCACGTTTAAACCGATGAATATCGATTTCGTTATATAAACGATTTAAATAAAAAAATAAATAAAATTTATATCGAATCGATATGAAAACGATTAATCGATTAAAATAAAAAATTAATTTTTTGTCTTTCAGGTTTTTAAAAAATGGTGGATGACGATGTCTGATGCCACGATGAACAAACAAAACGAAGGGGAAAAAAAAAAAAAATTATTCACTCGATTGAAGTGATGTTAACGATGATGATGATGATGATGATGTGACAAAAATTTAAAGATTTTTGGTAAGTGACAAATTTTTTTTTTCACCCCTTCTTTCATCCTCCTCACCCCTTAGCATGTTCTTCGATTGGGTACTGGAAGGAACGATTTTCTCCAGATGATTTAGGTTCGCAAAAAAAAAAAAAAGAAAGAAAATCTCAGGTTGAGAATTCGTTTGGTTGGTGCGATTGTTTGTTCGTTTTTTTCATTAAGGGTTGTTTGCTTTATCACCCCCTCCCTCCTTCCTCACCCCATTTTCTTCCCTCCCCCTCAGTCTTTCCAGCCACCTAAAAAACAACAAATTCTCCAGTTTTTTCATCCAGTTTTATTAAAATTCATTCATTTTTTTTTTCTTTTTGTTCGGTTATATTAAAATCGGTTTCAAAATGGCCAACATCATCATCATCGTCATCATCATTATCATTATCATTCTCATTATTATTATTATTATTATTACCGATATTAAACAAGGACGTGAACCTACAACAACAACAACAACATTAAATTAAATAATTTTTTATTTATTTATCATTATTATTATTATTATCATTATTATTATTATTATTATTATTATTATTATTATTATTATTATTAATTCAAACAAATAAAATGAAATAAAAAGAAGAAAATTTATGTTTAAACGCTTTTTTTTTTCTTTTTACACGACTACAAAATTGTTTTACAAAAAAAAAAAAAAAAAAGTGGCAGGAAAAAAATGTCGTTGCAATAGTTGACGACGATGTGTGTTTCGGTCGGTTGTTGTTGTTGTTGTTGTTGCCGACAATCGGCAACTCTCGCATTTTTTATTATTTAACCTTCGAAACGAAAAAAAAAAGAAAGAAATGAAAATTGAAAGAAAGAAAATAAAAAGAAGGTTTTTTTTTTTATTTTTTTCTAGAAGGTTTTAGTGTTGTAAATTATTATTATTACTATTATTATTATTATCATTATTTATTTATTTAAAGCACGAAAACTTATTTTTTAAAAAAATATATATATATATGTATACATACATATATATCTATCGATCGTTACATTGTTTAAATATAACTGTTTAGGAGAGAGAGAAAAAAAAATTCTTTTATGACGTCAGAGTCTGAAATTTTTTTTTTTTTGTGTTACGATTAATTTTTTTTATTGGGGATTTAAAAAAAAAAAAAACGGTCGACATTTTTGTGATTGGAAAGTTTTTTTTTTTTTTTTATATTTACTTTTTTTTATATAAAAACACCGCGCGGCAATCTTTCTCTCTTTGTCTCCGTCCTTCTCTCTCTCTCCCTCTCTCTTTATTCGTCTCTGTATTTTTCTCTATCTATCTCTCTTACTCTGTCTCTGTAATTCTCTGTCTCTCTCTTTCTCTTTTTCTACTTGTCTCTGTACCCCTCTCTCTCTATCTGTCTCTGTATTTCTCTGTCTCTCTCTCTCTCTTTCACTGTCTCTTCGTTTCTCTCTCTCGCCATCTTTGTCTTTCTGTGTGTGTGTGTGTTTGTGTTTGTGACTCTCTCTCTGTGTATGTGTGTGTGTGTGTGTGTGTGTATCTCTCTCTCTCTCTCTCTGTCTATGTATTTCTGTATCTCTCTCCCTCTCTTCTTCTGTCTCTCTGTATGTCTTTTTGATTTTGTATCTTTCTCACTAACCTTATGCTTTTTAATTTTTTATGTCTCTCATTCTCTTACACACTCGATCACCCCGTCTCTCTCTCTCTCTCTCTCTCTTACTTTCTTTCTGTATGTCTATTTCTCTCTCTCTCTTTTTTCTTACCCTTTCTTACTGTTTTTTTTCGGAAATGTCTATCTATAACATTCACGCTTTCGCAAAAAACGTCATTTTTTTTTAGAAAAAATAGTAATAATAATAATAATTTAAAAATGAAAAAAAAAACTAATAACGATTTTGTTTGTTTGTTTGTTTTTTATATATTTAAATATGTATTTAAATGTGGATTCTTTCAAATGATGCGACACAGTTAAAAATGGTGACTTAGGTTTTGTACGGGATCAAAGATCAGAATTACAAATGTTATCAATAATAATTTTGATATTAAGATCAAGGAGATCTTAAGTTCCCTTAAGCCCGAGGGATATTATTATTATTATTATTATTATTATTATTATTATTATCATAATCATAATTATTACCGAGAGATTGTAATAATAACAAGTCGAAGGAAAGAAAGAAAGAAAGAAAGAAAGAAAAAAAAATGAGTGAGAGAGAGAAAAATATTATTAATAACATACCTGAATTCAATTGGAAAGACAACAAACGGGCAAACCCTTAAAAAACAAACCCTTACCTCCTCTTCTTCTCTCCCTATCTCCCTCTCTCCTCCCCCCGAAACCCCCCATTTGAAAATGATGGAAAAAAATTTTTTTTTCAAAAAGCTATAAATCAGATGTTATTTTCTCTCTCTCTCTCTCTCTCTCTTTTTCTCCGACTACAAATTTTTTATAGTATTGACAAATTAAACTTCTCTCTATGGAATTTATTAAAAAAAAGGTTTCCCCTCTCCTCTCCCCTTCTCTTCCTTTCCCCCTCTCTCTAAGGTTGAAA